GTCTGCGCATAAGACTGCCTTGCTTAGGCGGTGCAAGAAGCGAACTGATAAGATAATGTCTGAAGACAGCAATCACAAGCGCTTTCCCGCGGCAAACTTACGCGTAATCTTTACGAACTCTCCCCTCCTACGCTAAAGACCGACACCCAATTTAAGGCCACATTAATGTGCATTTACTCTTCTGCCTGCACCTCTGGAGCAGGATACATTGGCCGAACAACGAGGCACCCGTATAGACCCCCACCCCCTAGTGACAGTCGTTTACTCCGTGCAAATGACCGGAATTATCATTTTACGTAGAACAATGAAAACGACGAACTGTTATCAAACGATACTTAGTAACCCCTGTCTAACTGTACGATTTTCATTATGCCTGCAGTTGTACTGGCCGGATGATCAGTTGTTGAAAACAATTATTTGCAGAATAGGCTTACCCATTTTGCCGCTTCGCCTTTTCCCATTATTTATAATGCTCAGTCACTCAGCAATCAAATTATGTCACGTACTCTTCGTGGTTTCAAATTTGAAAAAGTCAGAATTCCGGGGCAAGAATTATAGTTTATGTTTCGCTCACCGGAATAAATTTGTTGGTTTGCTGACATTTTGGACAGCTGGGCCGGCTGTCCTTTTTCGAAGCGTATACTGGCTTTATCGATCAGCAAATTTAAATTTGCGGTTGTACTTGTTGGCCCTGGGCTAATCGATTTTTCTACACTCGCTGCTTGGCCCTCCGTGTGGATTTTTGGCATACCTTGACGGCAATTTGTGTTCCGTTTCGTTCCCACGTCAGCAAACCAACAAATTTATTCCGGTGAGCAAAACATGAATTATAATTATTTGTGGTTTGCTTGAGACTCAATCTAGAGTCCTGAGAAGTAGTCGCATGGCAATTGGCGATCTCAAAATGCATATCAACAAGGAAACGAGACCTAAAAAGCAAAAACCGAAACCCAGATCTGAATCACATGGGATTTGAACCCGGGTTAATCATTTCGGCTCTTGGCCATTTAACCACAGATAAGTTGGATTGTTGGTAGCATTTTCGATTACTAAACGCTCGATCACTAATGAACCAGGATTCGAGTTCAAACTCATCCAGACATTGGGTCGACCATGGCCGGCTGATGATTAGTGATAAGTTAGAAATAGACATTCCGGCCTCTTTGGTCTTTGACGACGCGCTCTGTCTGGTACATATGTGTGTGGTCTTGTTAAAACCCGGGAGATTAAAGTGAATTTGACCTTCCCTCAACATTTGTCTTATCTAGCTGATAGCGATTCATCGTGAGGCTGCCAAATTATAAAAGTTCCCTGCCCAAATTTCTTACGTAACTGTGATTAAAGGTTTAATGGTTGATTAAGTGTTTGATGCGTGGAAATAAAACAATGTAAAATAAATTAAGGCCGCTTGTAATTGTTTTACTGAGCTAAATATACATGCGAAAAATATCAGGACGCCTATTGGCCAATAAGAATATTAGACGATTGCTATTGTTTAACATAATGAATAAATTATGATTGGATAGGCTGAAATTCGACCTATATAAATTTTGCAAGTAAGTGTTTATTACCAACATGAATCCTCAAAATGCCTCTCTATGGGTCTCGCTTAAATTGTAGCAGCTCGTCCTCAGTATATGCCAATTCTTCCAAGCGCTCCCAAGAGCCACCTTTCTCGAAAATTTTCTCCGAATGATTACACAATACTTTTTCATTTACCCTTCCCCAGCAAAGGGACATTTCAGCGTTCATCGCAACAGAAATGTTCTCGCAGGAGGAATCCTCCAAAAAGAACAGCGATACCAACGGCGATGCGGATGGCGAATCCAATAAACCTGTCTCCTCCACGAATCAGACGCCGGTAAATCTGGCGATCCCGCGGTCCCACGGTCTGGACCTCCATTGTTCCGCTGTTTGCGCTCATCTCACGCTATGGTTCCAATGTCGAAGGAGGGCTACTGGCAGGAGCCTGAAGCAGTTGCCTTTGAGGTACTATTTGCTACCTCTGCTTATTAAATCACGTGTTTACTGCTGAACAAACTTGTTGAGCACTCTCGTATATGCGTTAACCGAACCGCGCTTAGATAGTTTATTTCAGTTTACTTGGTGAGGGTAATAGGCACTGCCTCTCAAAACCCTGTTGAGTGCATGCCGGTGCGTCATATGCATCTGTGCAGGCCCGCAAAATGCAGTAACAAAAAGTGTTGACCACGTTTTGTTTTACCGCAGCAACTACTTGGGATGTAACTAAAACTAACTGCATATAATTGCGAAGACTAAGGCAGAACCAAATCTTCTTAAATTTAAATCATTTTGGAACATACTTTTTTGTGCACCTCAGTGCAGTTGGCGCATGAACGGGCGTCCCACGCTCTACGCTCACACAACGACATCATAAGGAACTGCGAAATGATTACTAATGGATAAGCACCAGATGACAATACCCTGAGATTTTTGTCCAGTCATTCCCCATTGTATAGCCAGATAAAGTAGCCAGCAGTTTGGTTCGTTCAACGGATTACCGAGATAACCATAAACATACCACTCCCTTGATTTCAATAGATCGATTTGTTTACGTTAACACTGACTATGCTAAAGAAAATTCAAAAATGCCGCACTTTTTAAAGATGTATGTCCCATTATTAGTTTTATTAAGCCTACTCAATGAAATGACCTGCAAAACATTTTGCAAATTAACTACTTTTCACGTGACCTGTACGGATTAAATGGCTTCTTCAAGAGCTTATGACATGTATTTACAGTCAGTAACTAGTCTTTTCTAAGCCACGGTGACGATCAGTTACGGGGATCAGCGAGAAATACAGCATAATGCAATTATATTCACATAGGAGAATTTCATCGCCGCGATCTCTCGCCTAAATAATCAGCCACGATTAGGGCGACTGGATATGAACGTGACTTCAGCCACAGTCAGTCTTCATGTACACATCCAGAGACTGAGGTTTCAGATATCTCGTACATAGGAGTCGCCGCAATGTCCACAGAACAGTCGAAATGAGAGAAATGCCAGCTGGTGCTCAGCCAACCCGCGGCGATCAGTGCATAATGGCTTAACTATGGGAAAATTGACTTGCCGGCAAAGAAAGGGGAGACTGGAATGGCCATTTGCGGCTCATTAGCCCTCGTCAGTCAGTCATACCCCATCCCAAGTGGTGCACCACCTGGGGCTCGAACTCATGACCTTTTCGATCAGAGTCTAACGCTCTAAACATTGAGCCACTTACTCGCTGCCTTGCCAAT